CCCCTAAATTGTTTTAATTGGAGGATAATTACTTTACAATATCTTGATGGCTCTGCCATACATTGACATGAATCAGCCGTGGGTGCACACATGTCCCCCAGTCCTGAACCCCCCTCCAACCTCCCTCCACACCTTATCCCCCAGGCTGTCCCAGAGCACTGGCTTTGAGTGCCCTGCTTCACGCATCGAACTTGCACTGGTCATCTGTTTTACATATTTGTTTCAATGCTACTCTCTCAGAACATCCCACCCTCGCCTTCTCCCACATGGTCCAAAAGTCTGTTCTTCACATCTGTGTCTCTTTTGCTGCCTTGCATATAGGATCGTTGTTAGCATCTTTCTAAATTCCATGCATATGCATTAATATACTGGAATGGTGTTTCTCTTTCTCATTTACTTCACTCTGTATAATAGGCTCCAGTTTCATCCGCCTCATTAGAACGGAGTCAAACTCATTCCTTTTTTATAGCTGAGTAACATTTTTTGTGTATATGTACCACACTTTCTTATCTGCCAATGGACATCTAGGTTGCTTCCATGTCCTGGCTATTGTAAACAGTGCTGTGATGAACATTGGGGTACACGTGTCTCTTTCAGATCTGGTTTCCTCGGTGTGTATGCCCAGCAGTGGGATTGCTGGGTCATATGGCAGTTCTATTTGCAGTTTTTTAAGAAATCTCCACACTGTTCTCCATAGTGGCTGTACTAGTTTGCATTCCCACCAACAGTGTAAGAGGGTTCTGTTTTCTCCACATCCTCTCTAGCATTTATTGTTCATAGACTTTTTAATGGTGGCCATTCTGACCAGCATGAGATGATACCTCATTATGGTTTTTATTTGCATTTCTCTAATAATGAGTGATGCTGAGAATCTTTTCATGTGTTGATTAGCCATCTGTATGTCTTCTTTGAAGAAATGTCTGTATAGTTCTTTGGCCCACTTTTCGATTGGGTTGTTTGTCTTTCTGATATTGAGCTGCATGAGCTGCTTGTATATTTTGGAGATTAATTCTTTGTCAGTTGTTTCATTGCTATTATTTTCTCCCATTCTGAAAGTCAGGCAGCCTTTTTAAAGGGCAGCCTCTATTCAGCTCTAGCCAATTGTCGCTTCAGCAAGCATGATGGGACAATGTTGCTAGAAATACAACTTTCTCAGAAAAATCAGAGATTTCAAGAGTTTCCACAAGTTCTCACACTTCCGTTGAATTTCTGGGAATTATACATCCAAACAGAGGGATGTGTAGTGCCTGGAAAATAGGTTATGCAATATACTGGGCTGGCCAAGCCTATCAGTGATTGTCATGTCCATAGTTGCTAAACTGGTCCTAAGTGGTTCCTTAGAAAGTGCCTCGCCATCCTGGCTCATCATTCTCGGCAGGAGCAGCCCAGAGGAGATCTGATCTAGTAAGAAAGTTCTGTTGAACCAGGATGATGGTGATGAACCATCCAATCGTCCAGTGAGAACCAATCCAAACTGGACCAAATAGCTTCCCTCTGGAATTTGAACTCCAGATAAACAGTGTGTTAATTGGCAGTGATAGTAGGTAGAGGCAGAAATATACAAAAGCACAGAGTAGTTAAATCATGGAGATGACAGAACATTAGACTAAGCAAACATCTTCTATTGAGGAGTCACAAAATAAACCTAGTTATCTAGGGTTGCGCTGGATGCTGAAGAAATTTTGAGTTTCTTCATTCCAGATCTTTTAGGCACTGTACAGTAATTCCTATTCTTCCCATGAGTTCTGGGTATAAAGGTTTCCTAGGACCCTATGAGGCCTGATATGTGGTCAATCTTCTCTCTCTTAATACTGTATCCGTATCATTAAAACAGATACCTTGTTACTTTAGGTAATCTCAGTGAATTCTTGCAATGAAGAAACACAACAATGTATTTATTCAGTGTTTTTTTTTTTGAGGTAATTTTCTCAAACTTTGATAAACTGCAAAATGCTTGTCCTGACTGCTTCTTTTCTGTGATCCTCTGCCTTTCTCTTCAAATTGTTTTGATGTTTAAAACTGTTCTGTAATACTTATTAAGAACACTTATTAAGTATTAATAAGAATACTTATTAAGAATACTTATTAAGAACATTTTACTAATGGAAAAATATATCAGTAAGTCTAATTAATGTGCCAGTCTAAAAGTCTAAAAAATGTGCCAGTATTTTAGAGTGCACAGGAAGCCTGGCGTGCTGCAGTCCACGGGGTCGAAAAGAGTTGGACAAGACAGAACAACAATACACCTCAGGGCGTGTGGCCCTCAGGCAGGTTACTTTATCTCTCAGTTCAGTTGCTCAATCTTGTCCGACTCTTTTCAACCCCAGGAACTGCAGCACTCCAGGCTTCCCTGTTCATCAACAACTCCTGGAGCTTGCTCAAATTCATGTCCATCGAGTTGGTGATGTCCTCCAACTATCTCATCCTCTGTTGTCGTCCCCTTTTCCTTCTGCCCTCAGTCTTTCCCAGCCTCAGGTTCTCTATCAATGAGTCAGCTCTTTGCATCAGGTGGCCAAAATATTGGAGCTTCAGCTTCAGCATCAGTCCTTGCAATGAATATTCATTCAGGACTGATTTCCTTTAGTATTGAGTAGTTGGATCTCCTTGCAGTCCAAGGGACTCTCAAGAGTCTTCTCCAACACCAGAGTTCAAAAGCATCAATTCTTCAGCACTCACTTTATCTTTAGAGACTTTATGTATCATTTACATCTACATTACAAGTAGATAGAATATCTTCTTTAAAGGATTGAAGAATGAAATGATAATAGATGAAAAAGTGCTTTGAAAAAGTATAAACTCTAACAAAAACAAAAGGACAATTAGCTCATTCCGGAGGTTCCACAATCTTTGCCTGCTCTTTTCCACCAGCTCTTGCTAGGCTATACTTTTTACCCGGATCTTAAACCCAAATTCAGTTTAGAGACCCGAGAACTTCAATTAAGGTTCTCTAAGATCTTTGACAACAAAATCTTTTACAGGGAATCCCAGTGGCTCAGTGGTAAAGAATCCGCCTGCCAATGCAGGGGACATGGGTTCCATCCGTGGATGGAGAAGATCCCTTGGAGAAGGAAATGGCAACCCATTCCAGTATTATTGCCTAGACAATCCCATGGACAGAGAAGCCTGGTGGGCTACAGTCCATGAGGTTGCTAAAAGAGTTGAACACAATTTAGTGACTAAACAACAACAAGATCCTTTACAGCACTGGAAGTATATGATTCCCATTCATCCCAAGATCATGAACACTATGTAGTAAGTGTTGGAAACACAAAAATGAGTAAAACCCAGTAAAAAAAAACGTGAAATCCAGCAATGAAAAATGATGAAATGTAGCATTCGCAAAGTTTACACAAAGTTATTGGGAAGCATCATTCTGACTATTGCCTCTTTTCGACTCTACTATCAATCACAAAATACTTCTCAAGCACACAAAGCTGAAGAATACTGATTAAAGGGTGGTAAGATACAGAGAAGTTAAAAGATTATTGTGGTATTCTAAAAACCTATAATCTAGTGTTGCAAGCAGTACGATGGTGTTAAAATTTTAGTCTTACCTGTTAACTTCCTTATTGTATGATATTTGACAAGTACTTTTTGCCTCTCTAAGCCTGTTTTCAGGGTTCCCTGGTGGCTCAGAGGGTAAAGAGTCTGCCTGCAATGCAGGAGACCAGAGTTCGACCCCTGGGTCGGAAAGATCACTTGGTGAAGTAAAGGGCAACCCACTCCAGTATTTTTGCCTGGAAAATCCCATGGATGGAGGAGCCTGGTGGGCTACAGTCCATAGGGTCACAAAGAGTCGGACACTGAGCGACTTCACTTTCACTTGCAAGCCTGTGTTCTCTCCTGCAAACCAGGGATAAAATATAGTACTTTTTCCTTAGAGTTCTTTCGAGGTTCAAGCGAGATAATTTACGTAAAAAACAGGTCATGGCACATAAGTGCTAAATAGCCACAATTCTTTCTGTGTGTGTGAGCGCAGTACGGGGAGATGACGAATTTCTATCAACACAGAGCAAGTAAAACGCAGTGTTGCAGAACTGTTTCACTTTCTCCCTTTGAGCCGCAACCCTCCTCCTTTGCTTCCTTCTCAGCACCAAGCATTGTTTAGCGATCCAAAGTCCCACCGTGTGCAGTTAGCATTTCCATTGCGCAGTTAGGGATTATGGAGAACTTTTTATATACTAAGAAGTCAGTTTCATCGTCACTCTCTTAATTTTTATCCCGATTACCACGGCTAATGAGCAGCGTTTCTCACCCAGGTTAATGAAAAAAGGTGAGCCACACTTCATCAAATGTCATGTAAATGTGGACTGATTTTCCGACTGCGAGGAATGAAACTCTTACAACGTACTCTGAAATCTTAAATTAAAAAAAAAACCCACAATAATAATGCAATTATGTTGGGCTTGAAATAAATACTTCCCCAAGGTCAGTGGCTGGGGAGTAGGCGTCAGTGGTCTTGACGCTTTCAGATTTTCTCCCTGGCTCCGGCCCCCAACCCCAAAGCCCAAAGCAGCCTAGGTCTGGCTGTCTCATCCATGCCTTCAGGGCAAAGTGCAAGGGTGAGTAAGGAGGAGCCAGGATGGGGGGCTGGGGGCAGGTGGGGCTGAAACGGAACTTCATTGTTCGCGGGACCGACTCTTCCCGAAAGAGCCCGTTGGCAGCGCCTGCGCAGTGCGCGCTCTTTGTGCCCGGCTGCAGCAGCGGGTTGTTTGTGTGCGTCTCTTCCAGGCGGTGGAGGCGGAGCCTGATGGGCGTGACCTGCCCTGTTGCGTCCTGATTGGGCTTTCTCAGGAAGGTGGGCGGGCGTAGGGCGGAGCTTCAGATAACAACACTCAGAGCGGAGGCTGAGGATATTTGTTGCTGCGCCGCCACCGCCCGAGCCATGGTCCGCGATTCACTCCGGCTCTCTTAGCAGCAGCCGCCGCCGCCGCCGCCCTGTGAGCTGTGGCCTCACTCGCTCCTTCTGCTCCTGCTGAGCCACTTTTCCGCTCAGCGCTATGACCGTCGTTTCTGTCCCACAGCGGGAGCCGCTTGTTCTAGGCGGCCGCCTTTCGTCCATGAGCTTTTCCACCCGCGGTTACTTCGGCGCCCTCCCGATGGTTACCACTGCTCCTCCGCCTTTACCCCGGATCCCGGACCCCCGGGCGCTACCTCCCACCCTCTTCCTCCCTCACTTCTTAGGGGGAGACGGTCCCTGCCTGACCCCCCAGCCTCGCGCCCCGGCACCTCTTCCCAGCTGCAGCCTCGCCGCGGCGGGGGGCACCCCTCGGGCGGCACCAAAGAAGCGACGAAAGAAGAAGGTGCGGACCAGCCCGTCGGGGCAGCTACCCAGCCGCTTCCACCAGTACCAGCAGCGCCGGCCGAGCCTGGAGGGCGGGCGGAGTCCCGCGCCGGGCCACTGCGGAGCGCAGCAAGTCCCGGACCGGGCCCAGGCCGCCGCCTGGGTCCCAGCTCCTGCGGCCGCAACCCGGACTGAGGAAGCGAGCCCTTTACTTGGCCCGCTGCCGCCCGCGGCGCCCGGCCAACCCTCGTTCAGAAGAGAGGTAAGGGCCGCGAGGGGGGCGGAGGGGGAGCCGTTGGCGTTCCGGCTTCTGTGCGGCCACAGCCGGGCCCCGAAGTCTGGGGCCCTGCGCCGAGGGGTCGGGGAGGGGGGCGGGGGCCGGGGCGAGGGGCGGCTGTTTACTCGGGAGGGAAGTTTCCGTGACGCCGGCTCCCTTGCTGGGGGGAGGGGGAGGCTTGCGCTGGCACCGCTGATTGGCTCCGCGGAGCCGGCCAATGAGAGGAGCCGCTGCGCCCCAGCAACAGCCCGGATTTAGAAGGCTGGCGGCGTTCCAGGGGGTTTCGGCGATCCGGGCGCGCGGGGGGCGGGGGAGGGAAGCGGCCCGCGGGAAGCTGACGTCAGCGCGCGCTACGTGCGGAGCGCTCCGGCGCCCATGAAGGAGGCGAGCGGGCGGCGAAGGGGGCCCGCGGTGCGGGCCGGCCGGCTTCCCGACCGCCGGTAGCGCCAAAACAGGTCGGGACGCGCGTACGGCCTCTCGCCTCCCTGTGTGGGGTTCGCGGTGGGCCGCCAGCCGCTCGCTTACGTTGCCTTTTTGTTGAGTTGTGCGGTGCCTGGTGTGGGGCGCCGGTCCAACTGGGGCGCAGCTCCTTGCCGGGCCGACCTACTTAGCTGTACTTTTCAACTTCGAAAGTTGGCAGGAGCGACGGTGGAGTTGGGTTGTCCCTGACGCGATAATTCTCTGTGTTTGTCAGGTGAACGGGATTGACGGTTTACTCATCCCCACTGTGTGTGCTATGCCAGGCTTCCTTAGTGGAAGGTAGTGTTGTGCCCAGAAGGGTGAAGTTTTCGAAAGGAAAGTTATCAGTTGAATTGACGTTATGATGCCCAGTTGCTGTTAAAGGAAGGACTAAGATAAAACTGAATAAAACTTAGATGGTATTAAGTCGCTAAGGTAACATTTACATCGAAATAAGACATTTTTCCTTTAATTTCAAAGGTTTTCATAATAATGAAAATAAGTTGCTGCCATTTGTTGAAAGAATGTTTAAGAGATATGCAGCTTATCTAGCTGTGCCCTTGGAAAAATTAAGTTTGTCCGCTGTGAGTCCTAAAAATTTTGTATAGGTTCTTCAATTCCTTGGGCTTCCCTGGTGGCTGAGACGGTGAAGAATCCGCCTGCAGTGCGGGAGACCCGGGTTCAGCCCTTGGGTCGGGAAGATCCCCTGGAGAAGGGAATGGCAACCCACTCCAGCATTCTTGCCTGGGAAATCTCATGGACGGAGGAGCCTGTCGGCTACAGGCCGTGGGGTCACAAAGAGTGGGACACGACTGAGCGTCTTACACTTCCATGGCTCTTCTGAAGTATTAGTGAGAATGCAAAAACGAGCTTTTATACTTGTTTCCTAGTAAGATTACTTTTTCTAGAACTATATTCAAGCCTGGGCACTCTCTTGGAGTTACCACTTCTGACTTGGTGATGTTACCTTGTGCTCTGGCTTTCTATTTGTGTCCTACTTCCCTACACATTAGAAGTTTTGAAAGGACAGTGATCTAATAGATTATCTTGCCTTTCCATCCTCTCATCGCTTCCTGTAAGGATCACTTGAGTTAGGAAAGTGATTAGAATTAAGGCAATAAAGTTCTTGAAGCAATTGTTAAAACAGAAAGTAGGGAGCAGGCAGAAATCGCCTTTACCATTACGTATAAAAGTGGAAAGGATGGTAGTCTTTTTAGTATTTAAGTTTCTGAAATTTTATTTTCAGAAGCTGGGAGATCATTTTTAATGTATATACTTAGTAACTATTGTCAAAACATTTTCTCACTCCTCACATTTCCTGGCTCCTGCTAATCATATTTTTCTGAAATATTTTTTCAAGTACCTGTCTTACAAGGTAGATAGTGTACCTGTTAACATAGTTTTTCTTTCAAATCTGCCAAAGCATTTGAAAATTTCTCTTGGAAAACTCCGACTGTAAAAACACTGACCTTTGTTAGGAAGAGGTTGGCATACATGTTTGGCAGAGAGCTCATTACTTTTCTTTCCAGAAAGATGAACTTGGTTACCTTGGGCCTTTTACTGTGCATTTTAGAATCAGCTCATACAGTGTACTAGTAACAGTGATTTAACTATTTTCAGTGGTAAAATTAGATGTGTGCATATTTGGACATCATTGCTTAAGTGCAGCAAGCACATTTAATCAAGACAGTGAATTAAAGTCCAGGAGAACTTTAAAAAAAAATAAATATTAGATATATGGTGAGGTTCATGACTGCTTTTTTATCATGAGACTGTATTCACTTTTATTATGTTCCTTGTCTTTGTAGGTTTTAAAATCAAAGATGGGAAAATCGGAGAAAATTGCCATTCCCCACGGCCAACTTGTTCATGGTATACCCTTGTGTGAACAACCAAAGATAAACAGACAGAAAAACAAATATAACTTACCACTAACCAAGATCACCTCTGCAAAACGAAATGAAAATAACTTTTGGCAGGATTCTGTTTCATCTGATATAATTCAGAAGCAGGAAAAAAAGCCTTTTAAAAATACTGAAAACATTAAAAATAAGCATTTGAAGAAATCATCATTTCTAACTGAAGTGAGCCAAAAGGAGAATTATGCTGGGGCAAAGTTTAGTGATCCACCATCTCCTAGTGTTCTTCCAAAGCCTCCTAGTCACTGGATGGGAACCACCATCGAGAATTCCAACCAAAATAGGGAGTTGATGGCAGTACACTTAAAAACTCTCCTAAAAGTTCAGACTTAGATCTCAGTATGTATGTAAAACATAGTTTTTCCAAAATCCCTGGACTCCTTGAAAAGAAGTGGTACAGAAATGGAAAATTGCCTTGTTGTAACATACAAGGGCAGAAGATGAGTTTAAAAAATTAAAAACAGCTTGTATTATATTTTATATTTTGTAAATACTGTATACCATGTATTATGTGTATATTGTTCATACTTGAGAGGTACATTATAGTTTTGTTATGAAAGTATGTATTTTGCCCTGCCCAAATGGTAGGTGTTTTGTATATATACAATGGAGAAATTTTAAGTGTGCTAAGGCACATATAAGACCGATTTATTTGCACAAGGTACTGAGATTTTTTTCAAGAAACAGCTGTTGAATCTCAAGGTGAAGATCTCAATGTGAACAGTTTACTAATGCACTACTGAAGTTAAATCTGTGGCACAATCATTGTAAACATAGGGTTTGTCTATGTTTCTCTAAATTGATTTCTGCCTTCTAATCTGTAATTACTGGAAAACTTCTATTCCCATTTTTACCAAACTTAATTTCTGGTTTTTGGTTTATATCCGTTCAGATTTAAAATTTTAATGCCAACAAAATCGGTTGTAATCAAATTTTAAAACAATAATAATAATTTGGCCCCCCCTTTTAAGTCTTGACTCTTTGTGTGTGATTGTTTTTCATGTTTGAATGTGTAACTAGGAGATGGATTTTAACTTTCCATTTCACTGGCTAAATGTTTATACTAATTGTATGTCCTCTTGAAATTTGGAGAGTCTAATTTAACACTACTACCTCTAAGGGGAGGAATTCCCCATCTTACGAATGGAAATGGTTGTGGGCAAAAGTATAGCTGATTTAGTTTATAGCTTAGAATATGTTTTTATTTTTGAACTGTTTCATACCATTTGACTTACCACATTTACAATGAAGGAAAATGGCACTTGTTTGGTTTTCAAATTTTGTTTTCAAACTTTGAGTATACTGGTTTTCAAAATCAGTATATTGATACTGAATGGGATACTTGAATCAAAGCAAATATAGCATGTTAAAATAATAGATGGAGATTTTGGAATCTGAAGCTTGCATGAAGTTACTATAGCATATGTGTTTTTTACTTTAAAATTCAAACTTCTACTCAATAGTGTATAAGGTCTATTCCAATAAGAAATTCTAGAACACAATTTTCCCTTTTCATTATACAAAGCCAAGGTTATCCCAAACAGTACAAAGGGAAAAAGTGGTCATGAGTAATTGATCAATATTTAGACATGTAAAAATGTAAAGTTGTTAAAAGGTTATATATGATTTTATGAAATAGTGTAGATGAGAAGGTGCTACCATCCTGAGGGGAAGAAATGAGTCATAAGTTTCAATTTCTTGGATCCTTTGGTTCACACAAGGGAGGACCCAACTTTAGAATCCTGTTGACTTGACAAGCAGTGCCATGATCGTATGATGACTTGTTACTGCCACTACAAAATCTCGACAATTTACAGCTTGTAAACAACCCATCCAGCCATTTTGCTTTGGCACTGATTGTAACATGCCTTGTTCTTATGAATTTAGAGAAAGTTACACTTAATTTACATACAGATCTATATAGCTAGATTTTTAAAAAGCATTTAGAGAAACTTAAGATACAGGTGCACTTTCAACCTTGTAAAGACTTTTTTTTTTTCTTTTAGCCGAGAGGAGTGTTAATACACAGGTAAAGAAGATGGTTAAATTTTTTAAGGGATGATATAAGGAAATTATAAAAAATTTTACAGTTTGAAAAGTGGTTGAAAATAGACTACAGATATATTTAGTGAGAAGGTGTTTACAAATTTAAGTTGAATAGGTTTGGTTTTACAGTAAAACAGTTATTTAGCAGTCAGTCTCTTCAGACTACTGTAACAAAATACTAGAGACTGGGTAGCTTGTAAACAAAATTCCTCAGTTCTGTAGGCTGGGAAGTCTTAAGATCAAGGCAGAGCAGGTTTGGTGTCTAGGGCTTCCCAGGTGGTGCTAGTGGTAAAAAGTGTGCCTGCCGATGCAGGAGATGGAGGTTCCATCCCAGGATCAGGAAGATCCCCTGGAGGAGGGCATGGCAACCCACTCCAGTATTCTTACCTGGAGAATCATGGATAGAGGAGCCTGGTGAGCTACAGTCCATAGGGTTGCAAAGAATCTGGACAGGCCTGAAGTGAGTTAGCACGTAAGCATGCTCAGAGAGCCTTCATGAGGTTTATGGCAGGTGACCTTTAGCTGTGTGTGCGCGTGGCACAGGGGTGGGGGAGCTTTTTGGGCTCCCTTTTATAAGGACATGAATCCCATTCATGAGGGTTCCTGTCCTATTCTAATCACTTGCAAAGTCTCTGCCTCCTGTTACTATCACCTTGGGGGCTGGGTTTCAACATAAAAATTCAGACCATAGTGCAGCCTAATTATTCAGCAATTATTTTTCCCCTATTGGAGTTTCTTGAAGCATTTCCTCCCAATGTTCCTGTAATTTGTTTTGTGGGGATATAAAGTACACTGCAGTTTTCTGCTACAAACCTAAATTTTAACTAATGGCCTAGTTTAAAATTGCAAAGGGGTAAAAGGTGTATGTGAGTGGAAAAAAATTGTTCCATGCAGTGGCACTTTCCCTGCAAAACACGTATGTGATTTAGAATCTTATACTGAAGTGTCTTTAGGTAAATTTGTACAATTTGATACTGAGTTTACTCAGTTCATACCACTGATGCAGTGACAATATAGAAAGCTGTTTTTATTTGCATTAATCTTGGTGCTAAGTAATTCTTGTCCTTGCAGAATGAGAAAGGAAGAAGTAATAAAAGACCAAATTACAATATTAAAAGATTGATGGGAGCCATTCTTTCCAAACTAAAGGTGGTTTTTAAGTTAAAATTCAAATTTTAGGGTAGTTTCTAAATTTGAAGATCTGAATGTATTATCAAGTAATTTACATTCTACTCTTAATCGGCTTTCAGGTTTCTAGGCATTACTATACCCCGTTCCTTCACAAATTATAAAACTAGTACAAATGTGGGAAATGAATGGGATCCAGTTATGCTGTACTTAAAACCACTTGTATTTCTTTAGCCTAGTACGTCATTTTGTGTGTGTGTGTGTGGTTTTTAAACTAGCTAAAATCCCATAGTATTTGTTCTGTCTTCACCTGCCTTCATTAAAAGCCCTGACTCAACTTTCGGTGTGGAGAAGGAACCAAACGCAGGCCCATCCCAGTGCGTCTGCCCCTCAGCACCAGGGCCCAGCATGGACCTGGTAAGCAGGGCATGGTGGGCATCCACCCGACAGGGAAATGAGGATTACAAGGAACTGTGAGTGTGGTGGATAAACTAGACCCCTCTGATGCCTCAGCTCCCAGCATGTTGTCAAAAGCATTTCATTGTCTGGGGAGAAATAGGGCTGTCATAGCTCAAAGCCACCAACCTCTGCCCTATTTTATTCCTGGTTCCTCCAGAAGCAGTGCTGGGGAGAAACATGAATATTCAGTGGTTTGAGATTACCAAAAAATGCAAGGCAAGTATTTCGTGGAGGAAGCTGCTTTTGTGATTGAGACGGTGGGTTAATTTTGAGTTGAGTCCACAGGGCCGGAACGGGATACGACTGAGCGACTGACCCTTTCCCTGAGCTCCTGTGGTAGCTCAGATGGTAAAGAATCTAACTGCAGTGCGAGAGACCAGGATTCAATCCCTGAGTTTGGAAGATCCCCTGGAGGAGATAATGGCAACCTATCCAGTACTCTTGCCTGGGAAATCCCATGCACAGAGGAGTCTGATGGGCTACAGCCCATGGGGTTGCAGGCGAACATGGCTGAGCAACAGACACTTTCTCCATTAAGCAATCAGTTCTAGAAAGGAAGATGCGAAGGGACTTGTGTGTGATACTGGCATTTTTGTATGAGTCTTCGTTGCCGCTCACATAAATGCAGATGTCTTCTTTACAGATGGGAAATTCATTTTAGGAGTGAAGCCCATAGTTAAAAATTCCCCCAATTGTTAAGTCACCAGGTTTAGCTTTTTAAAATAGTATGTTATAAATATTACCACTAATTGGCCTAGAGGAGTTCTGAAGTCTCTCAAACCTATGATCCCATCAGATGGCTCATTTATGTGCATATGTGCATTCTTAGTATAATAAAAATCCTAACAATGAAACTAATAGAGAGTCCTTGTCTTGGATAAAAACTTCAACCACTGCTCCCCTCTTTGTTTGAAATACCTGTTTTGTGTAATTTTTGAGCCGCATGTCTACTGTTTGGAGTGAGGGGAATTAAGTGTGAAGTATGTTCAAGAGATAGCTAACCCTTGGACAACACAGGTTCAAACTGAGCAGGTCCACTTTACACACATATTTTTAAAATATTAAGTACTTCATGATCTGCAGTTGGCTGAATCCCAGGATGTGGAACCTTGGGTATGGAGGAATCACAGATAACAGACTATAATTTATATGCATGTTTCCTTCAACTGCACCCAACCTATGAGTTGCTCAGGGGTGAACTGTACAAGGGTAACTGGCAAAACTAAAAGTTAACAGCATAGGTGGGTGAGGAAGAAATGGCTACCGTAACTAAAATACAAGCTGCGTCCCCTTCACCCTGCACCCTACCGAACGTCTTTGGAGGAGGTAAAACAAGTCTTTAAGTCACTGTGTCTTCCAGCAGGTGGCTGCTGTAGGGAGTAGGGATCATCTCCTTGGGAATCAGACGCTCTGGAAGGAGCATTGTGTGGGGCCTTAAAATAGTATATGACATGCAAAGAAAAGCTGAATAACTGTCAGAGGCAAAAGTTTTAGCAGTCTTCTATGAAAAGATGTGGACTACTCAGCTTGAGAAGTGCAGAGTCAGAAGATTCAGTCTTGAATGGTGTATTGGGGTAATAACATGAGGGGCTTTAAATTCCATGTTTAAGAGTTTCAACTTTATAAGCATGACAGTCATCAGAGGTTTATGAACAAGGTAATAAGATTCTAAAAGAAAATATGAAAAGTGGAGTATAGTT